ATCTATAATCTAGAACTTACATTGATATAATCATTTATAGTTGAACACGTCTAATGCTTATTTATCTTTGAGTTTCACATGTAACTCTAGTTTTAGTATAAATCCAAGAGTTTTGAAGTACATCATGATATAAAATACATACATATATCATTATACTTTTTTTTTTTTTATGCATTGAGCAAGTCGACAAGCAAAATTTTAACAGTATTGATGTCGCCTTTGAGGGCACAATAATAATAATTCAAGCATTACTAGCAACATTTTTTTAACATTAAGAATGTAACACCCAAAAATAGGGATGAGAAGGATCCGACTTCGAGTTGATTCAATGCTACTCAGAACTGGTTCATATATAAACCAGAAATCTCTTGCCCTCCTAAAAAAAAAATCATATTATTTTTAACATAATTAATGCCTTACAAAATCAAACCACTTGCAAATCATTTCCAATTTTCAAATGGGATTACCATATTCGAATTATAAAATTTCTTCCAAATATGATGAGGAGACCGCGCAGCTTTGTCCACTGAACGCAAGTTCTTCAGATGAGATTACTTTATAGTAATAGTATAGAGAATTGGTGTACGTACCGCGACATTGCTTTCAGGAGAGGGCAATGGGTCCCACTGAGGATCTGTGGGAGGGTAATAGTTTAGATTGTCTTACATCATTGTGATATTAATTGATCTAATTATTTAATTAAGATGATTGAAACTTCTGCTTGTATTGATATAACAATCCAAAAAAGGAATTGTTCCGATAAGATGAGTACAATTTGAAAGTGAAGATGTTATATTAGGAATGATATATCATAAAAAATTTATCCTGATCGGACATGAATCTCAAGATAAAATTGAATTGCAGACTTTCAAATTTAATTTTGAAATCATATGAACTCTGATTTCAGCAAAATTATAGTTGAATTGAAAGTATCGAAAAGAGGAACCCAACGACACCAAACTCGACTAAATCCGAGCCCAAATGGGTCCAAATCAAAGACCCGGAGCTCCTTTGGAAAATTCAAACTATAAATTGAATGACCAAAATTTTTTTCAAATATACATGCTTATAGTCGAATCAAGTCGCTCGACGAAAAGAATCCAACGAGCCCAAGATCTTCGAATTCTGATATGATTAAAACATTCAAATGTCCAGTAAACAATCTATGATCAAGGGGATCAATATCGGTTGTCAATTCAAACCATTCCCAACATACCCTTAATCTCCCTCATATTTACTGATCATTCAACTCTCAGAAAACTATAAATTGATCCCTCATTTCTCATGGAATGGGATTGAAGGAAGGAAGAGAAACAAAGTAGAGTTTTCTTGCCACAAGACTCATCCTTGACGACTGCCCGACCACCGACCATCGTCGGACTATCGTCGAACTTCTTCCCGGTAACCGCCTGACACCAGATTTTTGCCCGGCCACCGACTAACATCGAACTTTCGCCCGATCACGGATTTACGACTTTAACCAAACCTCCAACTAACGTTGGACTTCTACTTGGCCACTGACTAACGTCGGATTTCCGCCTAACCACCAGTTGTCACTAGACTATTGCCTAGCCGTCAACTGATGTCGGATCTCCGCCCGACCACTGAATGTTGTTGGATTTCTATCCGATCTCCATTCATTACTAGATTTCAACCAGATGGTTGACTGTTGTAATATTATCATCCTAAATTTCAAAGACGAATCAATCACTTGTAATATATTCAAACACTAGTATAATCATTTCAACTAGACATGGCCTAACGAGTCGAGTCGAGTCGAATATTTGTCTTATCAAGCCTGGCTCGTTTAATCCTTATTGAGCTCGAGCTCGAGAACGAACTCGTTTGAGAAGCACCAATGCATGTGATGTGTATTATTATATATATAAATAATATTATAAATATAATATATATAATTATATCAAGTAGCTTGATAAGCTTTCGAGTCGAGTCGGGTTGAGCTCGAACTCGAACTCGTTTATCATACGAGCTCAATTGTAGGCTCGAGCTCGAGCTCGCCCTAACATGGCCCCATGATTTTTCCCTTCAGGATTTTCCACGTAAGAAATTATGGTGTTTCATTTTTGTCTGTTTGTGTGCTAAATACTCATGCAACGATAAGATGTGAAGTTTTTCATACTTTACCGTCAGAAATACTCTAGCCCGTGACTAGGCAAAAGCATGTGTGTCAGTAAAAATGAATACAAAAATTCTAAAACAATAAGTTAGGAGAATATGAATAAAAAGTGAAAGAATTGGAAAATTATTTCTTCAAAGCATAAATTTAAGTCGTATATTTTATTATTATTACTCATTTTTTAAAATAACATTTCGTAAAAATAAGATAGTTTATGTGATATTTTCATGACTACAAAGATGTAGAAATAATATAATGTACAATCTATTTTCATAATCTAATTATCCTATTTTTATCTCTTTGTATCATCTCATAACTTTTCTTATCTCTTGATTTTTAAAGCAATATCTCAAAATATTCAAAGAAATATCTAAAAATATTAAAGCCACAATTTTTTTTTTCAAGGAATAACATCAAAATTATCTATAAACCTAATATAATATAATATTATATAATCATATCATATATTTAATATATCTTTCATTATTTGACTTCACTATGATTGCATGGCACTTGATCTCCTTGAGTTTCTTCACTGTTTTAGTTGCAAGCCCTTAGACATGACTTTTGCAACCTCTAATAAAGTCATTGGCCACCTCCTACTATGATTGTTTTCCTCCTTGATCTATATCATCCATCACCAGGATTAAAACTCTTAACAACCTTTCTTTATTGGTTGAGATCTTAGGCAATCAAGAGCTTAACTCTTTTCCTTGTTAACCTCAACAATGATATTCTTGTTGTTGACTACCATCATTAGCTAATCAACCCACCCATAAGATGCTATAAGGTTCTTAATAATAGACAAATTTAGTGACTTTGAGAAGTCATGGACTCCCTTTCATCATCACCAATTGCCACCTAGACAAATCGGCTGCGGAACCAGCTTCACTATAAGTGTACTTCCTTGGAAGGTCGCCACCCCCTACAAATTATTTTTATTTGAAGCGGCAACTTGAGCTAGATGGCTATACTTGCCGACGACTACAACCTAATAGTTACATCCACCACGGGCTTTTACCCGGCAAATTATTACGTGCGGTGTCCGGACGTCTTCCAGAGACCAATAAAAATGTGCCACGTCACCTCAAAAGTGTACCGCGCTCGATACCGATCGGTACCAAGCGTCGGTACCGCTCAATACCGCGCTCAGTACCGGACGGTTCACCGGAACCGTCCGGTGTTCGCAAATAATAATCTCTCCTTCTACCCATGGATAGCTATATGCTCGTCAATCGCATCTATCCGCCGATGACTTCTACCCAACGGCTCCTACTGATCAACTTCAAGTTGCCAAGTCCCATACCTAACAGTTACATCCACCAAGGCACTATGTATCACCTGGCAGCTGAAAGCAACTAATTGTCTTTTAGTTCAACTCATGCGGGACTATCCAACCATAGACTGATAAATCACATGTGTTGTTCGAACTTTGATCAAACGGTTTGCATCGATCTCCTAATATGTGAACCATGACACCCTTTTGAACCCCCCACTACGCATTCAAATTTCAACACATTATATGTGCATGTCATTTCATACTACATGTATAAACAATCCTTAGTAACTTACTAACTTGTAGAGTTTTCATGGAAATTTCCTAAATGTCCTAAAAACTAAAAAATGTTAAAAATGATAATAATGTGGATGTAAATTTATTATTAAGGCTTCGTTTGGGACGGTTTTTTTGTTGCTTGCTTCTTAAAATAGCTTTTTAATACAAAAATTATAATTTTTATACTAGAAAGCTGCTTTAAGAAACAACAAAAAATATCGTCCCAAACGAAACCTAAGTTGTTAGAAGTGATACAGGCATATGCTGCCGCCATTAAATTTATGTTTTACTTCAAAATTACGATTGGTAGGGTAGAGAGTTTCATGATTACATCATGCAAGTTCAAGTAAAAAAAAAATCATGCAAGTTCAAGTAAATAAAGTAATTTCAGAATGAAATTTCACATCTCAAATCAATGAAAAAGTAAGAGATTATATGCATTTACATTATTAATTAGTAAAACAATTTGTGGTTTGTTCATGCGAGTGCTGCAAAGTTACAGTATTAAATGATAAATTTAATCTCCATTAAAAAAACTCGACGAAATAAGCAAATTGGAAGGAAATGGAACCCTGGTATAGCTAATACTTATTTAGCCATGTCTGAGTGAGAGACTGAATGATAGACAATATAAAAGCGCAAATTACTTGGTTCTGGATCAAATTGAATGCAGTCCAAAGAAAGAAATGGCTTACGAAAATAGTCCGATTTGCTGCATGCAAAATGGCCAAAATGTGCCAATAGAATAAATAAATTAGGGGGAAAAAAAAACTTATTTCTCATGTTCTAAACATCTAACAAGCATTGAAGAAGACTGAGTGTACATAGCATGTGTGCAGGTGGTAGGTGCAGCCCCCAATACACATTAGGAAGTTGGTACACAGATGTGTGTGTATAGATTAATTATTCTGTGCAGATTCCGAATGCCGTCCGGAGGAAAATTGCAATGCACCACATCACCCGTTTGCTGGATACTGGTGCTTGGTACCGCTGTGTACCGGGTGACGTAGCGGTTGTGATTTGCCTCCGGACGGTCCGAAATCCGCACAGAATAATTTCTCGTGGGAATGTGAACATATGGTACATTTGTACACTCTACAGACATACCTATGCCACACCTTATTCAACATCTGCATTACATACCTAATGATTTCACCAGCATCCATCTATTCATGCAAAAAATAACAAGGCATAGTTTTAGATAACTGAGTTAAATGGAACCATACAAAAAAAAAGGTACAACATAGGCTCATGCAAAGATTCCAAATGTTTTCTTTGAAGAAAATGGTAAGTTTTAACATGTGAATGTAAAAGTAAATGGTTTCTGAATACCATTAAAACAAAGAGGATAAGTGAGGTTACATTTGAATACTAATGTGCATAATTGTTGAATCTGTGTTCCGTTCTAATTATAGCATTGCAGGCAGAGTGAATTAGGGAGCTTTCAACACTAAGAATTAAGAATATGCTAGACAATTGATATAGGTAAAAAATTTGAAAAAAGGAACTTACAACAAAATTAAAGAAAAAAAATCCAACTCACTCGATGCACAACTGACTAGGAAGTGCAAAAAACAAATACTTTTTACAAAGCAAACCTTCCTTTTAACAACCAGAACTATTATCATTATAATCAGGAGGAACTCTTGACTGAATTATAATCCGAGCTCCTGAAGCAAGCCTGTGTGTAAGAAAAAGACACCTTTTAGGCATAAAAAAGACAAAGACTATGGTCAAAAGCAGCATCACATGCGCTGTACCAAAAATGAAGGAAAAATGGAGGAATAATGTACTCAACTTTCCTCAATCTTGATTGTCCTTTCAGTTTCATCTTGAACAGATTCCACCCTCGTAGATGATACTTTTGATGCGGTAACATCCGCAGTCCTTTGACTTGCACTGAATGAACTTGTAGATGGGAATGTGTCATGGCTTTGTTGAGCTGAGGAGTTTCTAGCATCTAATATAGGCGAATTAACTGTTCCATTTATCATTGGCTTACTGCACCAAGATGGAGAGTTAGGGCCTACTAAATCTGCAATCTTTTCCTTATTTCCTTTTATATCAGGTGACCTGTAACTCCTGTATTTTATATAGAATGTGATTTCAAAGCTGTCATTTTACGTTAAAAAAAAAGTTTAAATAACGGAGCAGAGGCAACCAAGAGACGGCGAGAACCAAAAAGCATAGCACTGGGGAACACCACTGAAAATTAGCAATCATTAAAGGAATATTATAATATAAAAAGCAAATTTGATTACTACCACAAATAATACATGCCAGGAGAAAGGCTCAAAAGAAAAATCAATAAGTCTGGTCCCAAAAAAAAATTACGTACAAAGAAAGAATCTTGAGCTTATAATTGAACTTGTCAGCACATACGTAGAACTTCATGAATAATTACCAGTAATTTACCTATTTGAACATTTTGAGATCATTTGGAAAAAAGAAGCCGCAACAATAATTTGAAAAAAAGCAAATCAAAAATGAAAACTCAATATAGATTCAGAGTTAAAGCACAAGTTTGGAGAGTTAGGCTATTTTGATTTGAGACCAGCTTATTCTTCATTTGTTTCTTTTATAAGCAAGGAAGATTCAAATCCTAGATATTTTCAATCTTGCAAGATGTCCAACTTACATGTCCCCATTGTAGAAAGGAGGGCAATTGAAGCTGGGAGATGCTTCAACTCCATCCTCTTTGTACATTAGGCAATTTTCAGCTAGATTTCTGCTGAAAGAAGTCCTTCGTTCAGTCCCCAACCTCATCACCCTTGAGCTTCCTGACATGTAGTCAAGCTCTCTTAGTGTCATGGAACTTGGGAATGTTGGCCCTAAACTCATCTTCAAGAACCTGGGCTTGTAAGTCGGTATAAACCCAAAGCTATGGTGATCCTTAACAAAGGTTGATCCACATGTGAGCAGTTGTAGAAGTGCATTCGTTCTTTTCATCTTTACTTTCGTTGGCACGAGCTCCTCCTCCTCAATTATCCTGAAGCTATTGATTTTGTTCACTTCAGCCCTGATCAATGATTCTAAGGTGTCAATCTTCGTTCCAGAAGATGCACTTGATGGTGTTCTACTTGGTGAGATCTCCTTTTTAATAACATCATTGGATGGAGTACCCAGGTTCTGCTGGATCACATTGGTCAAATCATCGCCAGTTGAGAAACTTGTGGTTTGAGTGCTTGGCTCCTGTTCCCTCCTTTCTCCTCTCTCCTCTGTCTGGGTCGAAGCATCCTGAGCTCCACTCAGCATGAAAGCCCGGCACTCTCCAAAATTGGGGAAACTTGTCTCTGGGGATGAGCTCTGATGGAGAGGAATTGGGTTATCATCTTCCTGATGTGGAGGTGTTGTGTGTGGTGGTGGAGATGGAGACTTTCCCTCTCTCACTGTACTGACAGGAGATGAGTAAGAAGAAGAGGCCTCTAGTGCCCTAGAACATGTGGACTGATCTTGTTGCGGAGGCACATATTTTTGTAGCCTCGAATTATTGCCAGTGTCTTGAAGCCTATCTGAACCAGAAGAAAATAAATATATGAACTTGAGAGAACATATCAAGCCAACCATTTTCCAAGCACTCCAGGCGAAATAATCCATTCCTAGTCTATCGAAGACAGCACTATTACCATTTATTTATTACCTGGAGGAGTCTGGTCCAAAAGCTCAGAACCCTTAAGAATGTACTCATTTCCATGGGCTGGAAGTATAAGATCGTCCTCAGAGAGGTCCTGCCAGACAAATCCATTCTTGTAGCTCCTGAATCAGAATTGAATCAAACAGTTCACCTACACCTTTCAATAAAAGTGCAAATTATGCCAAAATTCATCATTTTAAAACCTCCAAATTACCTCTTACAAGACCAAGAATACATTTTAGGCATCCGCTTCCCTCTCAAAACAACAAGCCGATTAATCACATCTATAACCAAATTGGAACCAACAAAGCATTCAAACAGATAAACAAAACCACTATTCCTTACTGAATTTTACTTTTTTCATTCCACACTTACCTTTTAGGTAGAGACCTCCAGGCGAAGAAAGAGGGACCTCAATAAAGTGCGGGTGCTCGAGATGGCGATTCTTGCAGAGATAATACACCACCGGAACCTTCCCCCCTTGCTGCCGCTGCATCTGATGCTTCGGCGAAGGCTCCATCCATACCTTGGATCTCTCCGGACTCACTCGTAATCCATTTCTCCTCCCTCTCCCTTCCATTCTACCTAACCTTCACTCCTAACTAAGAAGTTCATCAAATAACAACGGATCTCCCAATCTACAAACCCCAATTCAATGCTTATAGATACTGAATGGAAAGACCCGAGTCAAGTTTATTATACTAACAGAAGAAAACAAAATGGGGCAAACAAGGAGGCTTCTCTACTGACAACATATTAATGATCAACAACAGGAACCCTTTTCTCCCAGAACGCCAAGAGAGCGCAAGTGAAGCCACCATTAACCGTCTCGAAAGAGGTAAGAAGACGAAAGATAAATATAAAATACAGACAGTAATTCGACCGCAGAAACGGCAACAGATAGATTCGAATCAAAGGAAAAGTCAAGTGAATGCGACCCGAGAGCGATGTGTTCTCTGTGCCATTCGTAACGAAACAGAGTTGCATCCGTTGCCTTCGCTGGAGTTTGGATTTCTCAGCAGCTTTTCTCACTTTCTCTCCTAAAATGGTGGGTGCGATTTTTTTTTTCCCCCTTTTTTTTATTATTGTGACGCACGTTTTATTTTTTGTAAATCAAGTCGTTTTCCAGTTTGAAGGTTGATCATGGCCGTCGATTCTAGGGTTCTGTGGTAAGGATCATTTGTACTAGATTACGTTGTAAGGATGGTAGATCCAATGGTTTTGTCCACCGATTGATAAGATGAACAGGAAAGAGATCGTGGTCATTATTGTCATACTGTACAGGATAATGAATTGTGCTTCATAGCTTTTTTTATTTTTATTTTTATTTTCATTTAATATAGCCAATCATAACGTAGATATATCTTTCAGTTGTTTAAATTAATAAAAATTTAAGACTTGATATGTTATCAAAAAAATTATCTTGATTGGGCACGAATCTCGAGGCAAAATCAAATTGGAAACTTCAAAAATTAAATCCGGGATCACCTGAACACCGATTTCAGCAAACTTTCAGTCAAACCTATCGTCTCGGAAATACGAACCCAACGACATCAAATTCAACTCAATCCGAGCCCAAATGAGTCCAAATCAAGGACCCGAAACGATGTTGGAAGGTTTGAACCACAATTTGGATTAACAAACGGTTTCTAAACGTGACATGCTTATAGTCGACTCGAGCGGCTCGACGAGACGAATCCAACGAGCCCTAGATCACCAAAATTTTGATATCATTAAGTCCTTCAAATGTCTGACAAACGGTCCACGATCAAGTGATTTAATATCGGCCGTCCATCCAAACCACTCCACATTTGCCCTTGATCCTCTTCCTATTTACGGGTCATGTCATCCTCAAAAAGCTATAAATAGACCCCTCATTTCTCTTGAGAGTGGTCCAAGCAAGATAAAGAGAAGAAGAAGAGAATGATAGGAGGAAAGAAACTCCTCGACCACTGCCGGAATTTTGCCCGACGCCCAAGTGACATCAGAATTATCCAAAGCGATGCCAGAATTGCGCCGGACTTTCACGGGACGTCGGAACTCTGCCCGATCTCCAAGTGACTCTGTAATTTTATCTGAATACAATCTAAAGTTGGAGTTATCCCCGGCCCCCGACTAACGTCAGACTTCTATCCGATGCCGAACCTCAGCTCGTCACCAGATTTCTACCAGAAATCAGACTTCAGCCCATTGTTGGACTTTCGTCGGACATCTATCCGGTGCTTGATTTTTGTTCGTTGGTGGACTTCTATCTAACGTCGTCCTTCTGACCTCTATCGTCAGACAACAGTCCTTCCGACTTTCGTCGCCCGCTGACTACAGTCCTTCTGACTTACATCGCCCACCGACTACAGTTCTTTCGACCTCTGTCGCCCGCCGACTACAGTCCTTCTAACTTATGTCGCCCACCGATTACAGTCCTTCAGACCTCCGTCGCCCGCCGACTACGATTCTTCTGACTTACGTCGTCCACCGAATACAATCTGCCAACCAAACAAACACATCAATAATGATTCTTTGTATTCACATTATGTAATGTACTCTATAAGATGTACATCAAGCTAAGACCTTCCCCCAAGGAAGGGTCTCATTTGTAATTGACTGCGAATAATAGTGGATTCATTCAAACTGCCCGGTAGTTTTTCCCCATTTTCAGGGGTTTTTCATGTAAAAATATTATTGTCTCTAATAAATGCTACACCCTCTCTCTTATCTGATTGTGTGTTGGATTTTCGTACAAAGTTAAAACGTTAAATTTTATATTTCTCTACTGCCGCGAATACTCCTAGACATAACAATACTATTTTATTTAAACAGTTTAATTATTTTATTTTTTTATAATTTCTTGTATATGAATTTAATAAAGATAAATGATTTGAAACTTATTGAATTTTTAGATGAGAAAATGTTGCTCTTTATTTAATTTTTTATGAGATTTACGGTATAAATTAAAGATATTTTGTATTTCAATGAAATATAGAGAAAGAGATAAATTCTTCTTAATAAAAAATGGTAATAATTCTTTTATATAAAAAATATTTATTAAATTAGAAGCGATTTAAGAAAATTAATTTAGGCTTCGTTTGAGACGGCTTTTTCATTACTTTTTAAAATAGCTTTTTAGTAGAAAAATTAAAATTTTTATACTAAAAAATTGTTTTAAGAAGCAGTAAGAAAACTGTCTCAAATAAAATCTTAACTTAAATGATCTAAAGTAGACTGAATGATGAGAATGATAATTGTATGATTGATTTGTTAAGTAATTGGAGAGTATCAATATCTCTAGTTAGGGGTATATATTATTTGAAAAAAGAAGTGCACACCTACTTAATATTAGATGGGAAAGCATCACATCATTTAGGTCAATGATTAATGCTTAAAAATAAAAATAAAAACAATTTTTAAGTTTTATTAATTATTTGAATTTCGCGTGCACGTCCTTCCGATGCCTTCAGATTCGCGTTAGATACGTGCATGCACGTCAATAAGATTTAACGAACAATAAAATAAATAATATATATACCATATTTTATTAGTAAAAAATGCGCATGTTTCATGTGTACGAATTAATATTTTATTTATTTATTTTAATTTAAATAATAAACTATTTTTATGATAATTATTCAATATAAAATAATTAAATTTATTCAATATTTATTAGTGAAATTAAATCAATTTCAAAGTTTAGTATAGCTGTGAAAAAAATGAATTACGATAGTTAAGTTTTTTTAACATTATTGAAAGAAAATGCAAATAATTTATAATATAAAAAAATAATCTGAGAAATTAAACATTTGAGGGAAATTTGAATTATTATAGTGATGGACTTATTTTTATTAGAAATATTCAATGAAAAAGGTGAAATATTTGAGTAGCTTTAGGTTTCATTTGGTATAATTTTCTTACTATTTTTTAAAATAATTTTTTAATATAAAAAATTTATGAACTTAAAAATTTTTACTAAAAATTATTTGAAAAAAATAATAAAAAAAATTTCCCAAATGAATCGTAAACATAATTTAAAAGCTAACCAACTAACAAAAGAACTATTCAACAATAAAAAATAAATTATATGATCTAAGTAATAAACTATAATAATTAACTCCTTAGTGAAAAATTATATGACCCATTGATTAAAAAGAAAGATTTTATCTCTAATATTAAAAATTTAAATAACATGTTTTATGATTTATTATTCTTCATTAAAAAAAAAGAGTTAAGAGTTTGCGCGAAAAATATTAATCTTTTAATTGATTTTGAACAAAAGAAGACACATTGATCTACATAAACATATAAAATTAACTTTGATATATCATCAACATCTTGATCGGGCACAAATATTGAGAAAAAATCAGGTTGGAAACGAACTTAATGACACCAAATTCGACTCAATCCAAAGACCCAAAGCACATTTGGAAAGTTTAAGACATAAATTCGATGACCAAACAATTTTCAAACGTGACATGCTTATAGTCAAATCGAGTGACTCAACGAGACGAATCTAGCGAGGCCAAGTTCGTCAAATTCTAATATCATTAAAACATTCAAATGTCCAGCAAACGGTCTATGATCAAGGGGATCATCATCGATCGTCCATTCAAATCACTCCCAACTTACCCTTGATCTCCCTCCTATTTATTGGTCATGACACTCTCAGAAATCTATAAATAGACCCTGAATTTCCATCCAATCTCCACTTGTCACTAGATTTCAACCCGACGGTTGATTATTGTAATATGATTGTCCTCAATAAGACGGATCAGTAATTTGTAATATATTCAAATACTAGTTGAATCATTTCAACTGGACGTGACCCCGTGATTTTAACCTTTTCCAAATTTTTTCACACAAAAATCTTGTGTTTTTTATTTGTGCTAGACATCTGTACAATGTTGAGACGAAAAATTTTAACTCTATCACCGCGTATATTCTAGCCCGCAACAAACTCTAATATTAGAAAATCATTTTTGGTTGCCTTTCCTATCATCAAAATAATATATTGCAACATTAAAGATGCCAATTTATCAATACATAGAAGAAAAAAGTGTTAAGGAAGAGAAGGTGGAGAATACTCAGCACAAGCAAAAACCCAATTAGGTTAGACAATGCACCTTTTCACAAACCTCTTTGCTGAATTTATCCTTTTGCAACCTCAAGCATTCACAAACATTAATCATTCACAAAGCTCCAAATTGCATCTCTGTAGGATTAGTTTTTATCCAAGCTATGCATAATAATTATTATGGGCCATTGATATGCAATGAGTAAATCACAGCATCCAATGCCATTGAGTACAGCAGTTATTTAATCAAATAAATAGCTTATTGCTTAAATATTCCTCCCGGTTTGGCTTCTTCTCCTTTCCCAAGCATATCTCATTCAACAAAATTGGATAGAATTGGCAATAATGCAGAGAGTGTGATATGGCAAATGCTGTGGTGGGGCATTTATTTGCTAAAGCAGCAAATTCTGGATGAAAGCAAGAGTTCATTGCTCGCTATATGTCCTTTAGAGAATAGCTTGGAAACAAATAAGCAAGATGAACTTAATTATAAGGTAAACATTCTGATGTTTATTTCTTCATTTCTTGTATTATTCAGAGATGTGTAAGGTGTTGGTCATGCTCTAGAGAAATTAATACGTGCGGAGATCTGATGCAGAGCTGCATCCACTTTTGTCTCTATGAAGAGCACAATTACAGCCTTTCTTGATTTACTGGTTAGGAGTTTTATGGGTGTATTTCAACGCTGTCCCTAATTTCTTTATATATATAATTTTTATAAACAGCTGGGACTGTAGGGGACCGTGAAATGCCAAAAAGAGTAGATTAGCACTGATAGCAGATCTCGCTATTGGTAGATGGCAAGAAAGTATGGCATAATTAATCAGAGAACAACTAGAAAACAAGACACAACTCTCCTTGGCCTATTGGTTGAGAGCTTAGGCTTCCAACTAAGAGGTCTAGGGTTCGAGTATATGTGTATGCGTTGTGAGTGTAAGTTTGCCTTAAATGGCCTAAATGTCCCAAAAAAAAAAACTAGAAAACAAGATTTTGAAATACTCATTTT